TTAAATTACTAATCTCCCTGCTTGTGCTGCCAGGAGTATTTAGGAACGTTTCTATTGCAATGCCTAAATTATAGGTGTTTCATATTCAAAAAAGCATTTTGTTACTGAAAGCACTGCAAGTAAGGAAAAAAGCTTGGATACGTGTAGTTTCATGGCTATATATTGCCAAATACAGCTTTTATGTATTTGTAAAACAGCTGTACCTGTCTTGAGGCCATATGGTATTGTAGTCTGCCGGTAATAGCCAGTGACAAGAACCAAATACTGAATGTATTAGTATTGCTACTATTTAATATAAATAATAAGTACTAAAAGAAATGACTTTATGGTCAATAATAATCTATATTCAGAGAGCTTTTAGAAGTAACTTTATACTAATTATTACAGGTATTGCTGTAGGCAAATGGAAGCTTGTGATTTTCATAAATATTGACTAGCAGGATTCATGCTATAGTGCTGTCTGGTTAACAGCTGCCTCTGCACAGTATTCCAGAAACATTAGTTCATTATGTGAGCCAGATAACAATCTTGGAGTAGAATTACATTTGGTTAAACACATCCGTTAGATAGAACTAGTCTTTGCCTGAAACCTTGTATTTAAAATTTAGATAAAAAGGTATTTGGTGATTGTTACCATCACCAAACAAAGGATGACAAAAATAAGACCTGTACGTAGCTATCCTGTCCACTTCCCCAGTTGTCCATATATAATGTACTTTCTCCCACATGTGTGTTCTCTGGACTTCTTGTTAGGTCCCACTAGCCTAGACTAACCCAGTCCACTTAAATGTCCTTGAGCTGCCATTCACTTAGAGGTATAATCTTTTTTCAAACCCATATGATTTATCCCTTACACTTATGTAGAGTATAAGATTGCTTCAGCTATGAGTTGCTTAGCTTGATGTCTTCTAGCAATTTTTATTTTATATTACGTACCTCTTAATACACAAATGTACTTGGACCAAGTGTCTTATTGATTTGGTGGATAGATGTTGTTGCTGGTATATTGACTCACTTGCAGTGCCAGCATGAGCTTTTGGCATAAAGATCATCCTTCTCTTTTTCTTGCACAAGTTGCAGGCAAACATGTAACATGTTCATCACTTCATCCCAGAGTTCTTTCAGATTCTAATTATATCAAACTGTTACTATCCTGCCTGCTGTTTCTTCAATTTTTCAAAATTATTGTACAGCTACATTACCTCTTTCTAAAAAAGATGAAGTTGAATTTTGGAGGAAGATATGAGCATCAAAGTAAAAGTGCCAGAAGAGTTTCCTGTGGTATAATCAGAATTCTGCATCCAGTGGTTTATTTCTATTTTTCCTTTGGTTAGCAATTGTCTTAGTAGATTTTTCTACTCTACCATCATACAGAATGAACTGTTGTAAAAAAAAAAAAACAACCAAACAACCCTACAGCTTGAATTGTACTGAAAGTAAATACTCAGAAGATGGCTACTAATAACTTAGTTTCTTTTGTTGTAAGGTCAGTGAAATAGTCCTTGAATTTTGTTTATACTACAGATGGAAGTGTAAAATCAAGCATGCAAATGAGAGAGGGAAAAGCTCAGAGTAGAAGTTAAAATTTAGAATGTAAAAGTATCCTCCTTTATATATCTGTTACCTACAGGGCCAGCTTGTCAGCAGGTAAAGGACAATGTAATTGCTTTTGCGTACTGTAGGAATCAAGTTATTAACTACTATGAGGTTAGGATGTTCATCATCGATCTGTACCAAATCAAAGCCGCAAGTTAAAAGAATGTACTGGTTTTAAAAAACGTAAGTATTGGGGGGTGTTTGAGGATTCTGGAAGGGTAAAGTTACACTTCTGCATTATATTGCTCTAATCTTTTGTCTTCTGATGCACTGCTGTCTGTTATTTCTGTAATTTTATTTGTAGCTTGAAGCTGTGGTGTGTAACACAAAAGAACTGTGAGCCAGAGGTGGAATTACTGTAGGTTACTTTCAGAGTGTAGGACTTAAGTAAAGACTTGATGAGACTATATTTGGGTGTAACTTAAAAACAGGGCTTTAGGCATCTGGCTACCATTAATATTCAGGACTGATAGGAAGTGAAGCTGTGTCACCTTCATTAAATTACTTAGTGCTTAAGTGATTATCATAGTGAGTAAATTCTATTAATGAACAGTGAAGTATAGAATAAAAGTACTTAATATTTCTAAGGTATTGTAAGGATAATTTAAAGCCACATATGTAGCATCACATAACAGTCCTAGAGTATTTAACTATGGGAAGATTATTTTTAAAGCTATTTTTAATTTTGTTCTATGTGTAGCAAATCACTAGAGATTAACAAACTTTTAATGACATCGTTGTTCATTGTAAATACCTTTTACATATAGAATTTCTGTCTTACTGTTTAGGTTCGGGGAAATGCACTATGTACCATAATGTATTTCATGTGATAAGTATATTAAACTTTAGTTGCAGTGTCTTGCAAATGTAAAACTTGTTGATGTACTTACTGGTTCTTAACAGATCATTGACCCGTCAATCAGACTCTGACCATTTCAGTGATAAAAAGCTAGGCTTTCATTGGCTATTATGAATAGAGCACCTTTCCACAACTTAAGAAATGGTGTAATAATTAACAGGTATAATAGATATGTGCATTCAGGTTTCAGTTATATCTTTGAGCTTTAGCTCCTGTTATCTTTAGTGTAGTTAACCCTCTGTCTACCCACAGATAATTTAACTAGAGGAGAAAAATTGATTTGTTGTGTGGCAGTGGTATTTTGCTAATACAATTGATAGTTTTTTGCTTATTTTTTAAGACATGTAATGAGTTATTCTTTCAGACTAGTTCTTTATAACAAGACACAGATCCTTACTAACAAAACTCAGTAAGTAATAATACTCTTCTAAAGAAGCATTGCAAAGGTGGGTTTTTTGAAAAATTTTGCATACAGAGAATTTACCCAAACTTTATTTTTTTTAATAATTTAAAGACTTAAATGATTATAAGTACTGATGATACCAAGTACTTGAGTTCAGTATCTTTGACCTAAAAAGTTGCTCAGAAGTTGCTGAAGCAGGTCATTTGATAGTGAACTCACTAAGTGAACCAGGAAGTAGGCAGGGGTCATTTACTATTCCTAAGCTCTAAATATCTTAAGAAAACCAAAAATTTTAGATTTTGAAAATATAAGATACATTTTAGTTGCAAGAATTCATTAAATAGCATCAATATTCAGTTGCTTTGATGTAATATACTTACACTGCAAAATAGGAATAAGGAAATAAAATCCTAAGTTTAAAGAAGTTATGGAACTGGGAAGTTAAAGAAAACTTTGTGTTTTTGTTTAACTTTTAATAATCGTAAAACATGACAAAAACCAAAGGAGAAGTGATAGTTAAAATGAGAGGCTGATAAAATGTTACATAACTGAAAGTTTACCAAGGTATAGAAGTTATTTCTGTTTTGCAAAGTATTTTCCTATTAAAACATTGTTGACTTCTTAATTAGTGCTGTTAATCTGATTTCACATGTTCTATATGCAGTACTCTTTCAGGTGTGTTCTTATATACCACATATTTATTCAGAACACATTTCTATAGAGGCTCGCATCATTAGTAAAATTTTTGTATTACAAGTTGGCATAGCCATCATCCTATTGTAAATTCAATTTAATCTATTTCAGGGAAATTCAGTTGCTTGATGGCATCAGTTGTCCCTATATGTGTACAATAATAGATCTTGGCAGTGTTCGGTTTGGCATCAGTAGCTAACAGATTTTTGTCACTGTTGGGGTTTTAATACTATAGTAAATAAGTCACCATTTATTATTAATACATTTTTGTCATGTCAATACTACCTAGGTATAAGGTGTGCTTATAAAAGCAAATACTTATGTAACTGTCTAAAAAAAGTATTTCTGAAGTACTCCTTAATATTAGTCACATATTTTAATGTGTGTTTATAAATGTAGATATAAAAAGATTAATTATTCTGGAAGAAAATGCAGAAAATTTTCAACTATATTTGGCAGTGTTATGCTTGCTGTAACTTGAGTGCAAAATACTGCAGCTGCAAGAGGAATTAGCATTTTTAGAGTATACCCTGAGACTGTGCCAAGATCTTCCAGGTCCACAAAATGAAATCCTCAAGGAAAAAATGGTGGAAGGGGCACAGTAGTTGTCTCTTTCTTTTTTCTCTATAGTATCTTGATACATGTCCAAGCAGGTAGGTAGCTTCTTCAGAGATGATTAGTGGGATGTGGTCTGTGCATTTCTGATCTGAGAGGGCTTTACATTGACACTCTGAAATGCAACCTTCCTTGTTCCTAACATCATCTTCATAAACCTTCCAATTATTTGTTCTTTTATTTTTAATAGTCTGTTCTATCATTAATCTTGTCATGCTGTAATGTAGTCATACTTCTTTAACCAGAGATACACATAGCTATTTTTTGCCTGTATTCTGATCCTTACACACATACTACTTAACATTATAGTGCAAGCAAAATACTTAAATCAAGCCTCAAAACTAATACATAAATGGAAATAATTAGACATAATTTTGTTGCAATCTTCCCATTTCTTCAATTTTCTCCTTATTTAAATCTAAAACTAAAACTCTTGCTTTGCCACAAGGATGTTAGCTTACTGTAGGAAGAATTCATCCAGTTGAATCTCAAGGATAAAAATAGTAAATAAATTTTTATGAAGACTACAAGTATGGCAGGATAACAGCTTTTTCTAATTCAGACTCTGCATAAAGCATTAATACATATATATACTGAGAAGTATGGGGCTATTGGGATGCATTTAGATTTACATTTTGTTGTTTTCATAGATTGGTAAAGCTTTTCATTAAAAATAATATAGTAGTGCTTTGAAATTGAACACAAAATTAGTTTCCATAGTTTTAATATGGGAAATAGGATTATGAACAAAAAATTGTGTGCTTTTGAATTAGGTTCTTCAGTGATATTTTACCTTCAAGTGTTAACTGATTCATTATTCAACCCTGATTACAGGAAGAATACATTTGAAATATGATACACGATATCTCTGGAAGTAGAGTGAAATACAACTGCATTTCTAGGATCTTAAACTTACTTTTATACTGAACTTCAAGTATTGAAAAGGTGTGTTCAGCCTATGAAATATATAGTTACCTAAAAGCTTTCTTTTGTTGCTGCTTTTTGGTTTTATGCTATAAAGTGCAAAAATTTGCTCTAGTACAGTATGTGAAGCCCTGCGTTATATTTACTTGAGGCAGTCTAGGACACTTGTGTTATTTTTTAATTCCAATTTTGAGTACTTTATGGCATCTTAAGCACCAACTTTTCTATGAATACAAAAACTTTGAAAGGTCTTGCAACTCTAGGTTGTAAGCTGACTTCTAATGCTCTCATCCATTTAGGAACCAAACTGGTCTTCCAGTGTCCTCATAACTCATCAAGAACTGAAATATTCAATGAGCTTGTTTACAGTGTAGTTGAATCTCAGTTTTTCCTTATAAGAAAGCTTAGAAGGACTCTGTTATAAACTTAGTCTGAGGGTATAGAAGGGAGGTAAGCAGATTGTTTTGTCCTGCACATATTTTAGTTTACTTATTTTAAGATTTCTGTCCTGCTGAAACATGATGCACAAATGCTAGAGGATTTTTGCAACAAGACAGTAAGACTGGAATAAGATGGTATCTTATACCTGTGACAGGTCAGTATTCAGCCTTTGTAGAAGAAGGTAAAGATTGAAGCGAAAGAGCTGCTCACTGTACAAAAGCCCAGTCTGGAAGTGACTGATTATTACATTAACCTCTGCGTGGTATGGAAGTTCTCTAAAAACGGTATGGACTTGTGTCAGAATTCTGCTGTTTAACTTCTTTGGTACTATAGCACATATATGGAAGAAATCTTTCATAATTCATTTGACCCTCCTTAAGAGAAATTTATATTATACTATACAGTACCTAATTAAGAAAGCTACCCATCTGTAATGGCTGTAACCAAGGTAAAAATGAATGAAAAAAGCTACCAGTAGACATAAACGTTTTGAAATGCAAGAAGTTATTTATGTCATCAGTTAGGTTATATTTCTAAAGTTCATTTAAAGTAGTAGTAACTTTTTCTGTTTGTCCTAGTGGATCTGTTACTGAAGTTGTGTTTATGTCACGTATTGGGCACCCTTTTATCTACTAAACTTCCTACCACTTCTTTAGGGATTCGACCTTGCTATCACTTTGCTGTCTTTCCCTTCTTACTTGATCCATTATTTTAGTGTTCCATTATATAACTTAAAACTTTCACTAGTATGGGTATTGCCCTTTAAAAGTTGCATCCTTATGAGTCTAAATTTAAATATACAACTGCAGAAGCTTGGATACTTCAATCTTTTAAGTATTATTTGTTTTGCAGTAAGCATAAAACTCAGTGATATCAGTTTATGTGTTTTGTAGCTTCTTTGTATTATGACATGAAATAACTAGTTTTAGTGGTTATATATTGTTTTGTCATTTACACTTATAATATGCCAGAGATCAGTGTTCCAGGATGTTTAGTTTTTTCCATGTTACTATGAGCTTTATGACTGTGCAGATTTATCGACCCCTAGCGGGTTGTTAGGAAAATGGCTGTTAGTTTAATGAGTACTAAATGAAAAATTTAAATATTTTTTTCAATGCTGTGTTTGTTTCAATGTTCTTTTTCTTCTGTTTGCAGCTGGATTAGCTCTCGAATTTCATTTCTGGTGTTCTACTTCCTACCCCTGCAGAATTGCCTACTGCAGCAACTTCTGTTAACAACACTCACAAAACATATGGCTAGGTGTCTGCATTTTCATGAACACTTGTAGCTGAGTATTTTAAAATTAAAGTATAGCAGAAATTAAAAAAAAAAGAACAAAGGGTCTTTTGTTTTGTCAATTGTAAGGTGGGCTTAATAGATAGGAAAGCTAGTAACTTCTTGGGTAGGATGATACTGTATAAATGAATTAAAGCAAATTCCAAATCATCTCCTCAAGTTTTCCTGACCTATTAGTGCTTATTAAATAATTATAATTTATCAGTAATATATTGAAACCTTCCATTTCATAAAATAATCACTTAATACAGTATTTCCACAGTAAAACAGCATGTGAAATATTTTATTTCTAGCAAACTTTTAAGCTAATTTTTAATAGCTCTAGTATTTTTAATCATTTAGTTGAAACTTTAATTTTCTGGGAGGTGAAATTATCTCCTCACCATGCTGTAAAAGTTTTACAGGCATTTGTTTCTCCTGAATTAAAATGAAGCACTGAATGAATTCACGTTTGACTGTTTAATTAGCAGTAATAAATGAAGCTAAGTTTGTTCAATAATTAAACTTAAATTGAACTTCGCTATAATTCTACATCTACTATCTGCTCCCAAGTATCAGAATCAGAAATTAAGCCCTACTGTAAACTTATTTTTTCTATGTAAGTGTGACAAAATAAGTGACTTCCATTTTTTTATTTTGTACATTTAATTTTATAGGCCTTAAGTAGTACAGTAGTGGTTTTACCAGTTAAATATGAAGTAATCCTTTGAATTGTAGGTATTTTTAAATTGTTAAGAAAAGGCCAAGTATATTTTTTTGCATTTACTAATATTCAGTGTTGTGCTTATTGCATAAACCACATTGTTTAAACTCAAACCTACACAGCAATCAAAAATGTCCAGAAGACCTCAAATTCATATTTTTGTGGGAGCACCCAGTATTCCAAGCCCACTAGAGGTGTCAGAGCAAAGTAGTTCAGCACCTGCTGCTGAAAAATGGAGAGAACTTCGCTGTTTGTGTGTTACACATAGTCTTTTTTCTGAGAAAGTCAAAGGTGGTGACCACTTAGTGTTTCAGGCAGAAAGCTCTATAGTCACAGTGGTTCCTACAAATGATGACAGCTCTCAGAAGTCTGAACAGGGGAGATTAATGGCACCAAAAGAATATTTGACATCTCTTGCATCTGTGGCAGTAACTTGTACCAGCACACCTAAAAAGACTGAAAGTTTAATTTATTCTGATTGTCAGATATCCAAAGATAGATGCACACATGCAAATGTAAATCAGGCTGCAGGTCAACATCTTCCACTAAAATTTGCAGAAGCAGCTAGACAAGATAAACAATTACTTGGCTGTTGTTCAAACATCACTGAAAGAAAAGCCAGTCATTTAGAAGTTAACAGCTCTGACATTTCTGATTTGGTTGCCAGTACAAACCAGATTAGCATACATCTAAGGTCTGTGGAACAAGGTGATCAATCAGATAGTAGAAGTGATCACCATGAACATCTAAGTCAATACCTGGATATGTGTTTCCCCCAAAATCAAGAGTCAAAACCAAAAGGAGAACCAAGTGATTGTTCAGATTTTGCAGTGTCAACAGATACTGAATTTCGTTGTATAATGACTTCAAGTCAGATGGCTGTTTTTGCACAGGATCAAAATGAGATGCAGAAAAGATTCATGAAACTATTGGAAACAGAAGCAAGCAAAAAACCTGAAGAAAGGCAGCATGATTGCTTTCAATTTGTTTCTGATGTTGGTACATGTCTTAATGTGGCTGAAAATGAATATAAGGAGGAATATACAAGTTCCCTTGAACTTTTCAGTTCTGAGGGCAGTGGGGAACATGTTTGCTTTGAAGCTACAAAACAAGAAGGAAGTGCTCAAGAAAATACAGAGATTTCTCGAGAACTTAATGTTCCTGCTGAGCACTTTGTAAATGAAATCCATATTGAACCATTGAGCTCAGGAATATTGTGCTCCCAAGTAGACAGTTCTCATAAGAGCTCTTCTAAGGGAGACCACAAGTGTGAAGATTCCTTTCGTGTTTTTCACTCTGCGTATAAAAGACAGCTGAAATCAAAGAAAGCTAAACTGAATTCTTCTCCAGCTGGTCCAGGGATGAGCGTGGATCAAGACAGGATGAGAGAGTTCAAGAAACTTCAAAAGAAACTATCACCACTTAAGAATTGCTGCTGCAAAAATCAAAAGTACAATGTTTTGGTCACAATAGTACATCCTTGTCATATCAAAGAAATACAGGTGAAGACTAGACCAAAATCTTCATGTAAAGTTCCTGTAGCAACAATTGTAGTTATTGACCAGTCAGCAATTGAGCGAAAAGTGGTGCTGTGGCGTGGTGCTGCATTTTGGTCACTCACTGTGTTTCCTGGGGATATTGTACTGCTTACAGGTAAGAATTCTTTTGTTTGCTTTTTGAAAATGTGGATCTTTAAAATGTCTGTTTAAAATAGAACAATATGTAACCAGTAAGTTGGAACTACGACTAAGTCTTTTTAAATAGTTTTCTTACATCACTTATACAGCTCAACATCACTTTGAGCTCTGTCGTCCTGCCAGTGGAACATCAACTGTCGTGTAGAAGTTTGCCCATCTCTTATGTATAGCCTTTGGTCTGAGACACAGCAGTGCACTGACACTACAGCATTGCTGTAGATTGTCAGGTATATGCTGTAACCTGTCAGTGTTTTGAAACAGTTGTTCCTTGAAAGGTACAAGCGCTACTACAAACCAGATCTGCTAGTTTTTTAACTGATAGACTTTTTTGTAATTCTCTGTTGAACCAGCAGCTGGACCAGAAAATTGTGGTATGCTCAGTCTCAGGATGAGAAATACTTTTTCTCCTGTGAAGGCCTTTGTAGCTTAGCACTAGCATCTTGAAATGGATCATGCTGTGAATAAGTAATTGATGTAGACTGCAGAAATCTAAAATTCCATTTGCAGTTCACCTTTTTCATGACATTTGAGCTAATAATGAAGGTTCTTCCTGATAAATCCTTTGTACTCTTTAATACCTAACAGGAGCAAAATGTTCTCCAAGAGAACACATCTCATGTAAGAGGATTCAGTACTATGAAAACAATATTGCACCCAACTTAGGGCTAGAGTTGACCAGAACTTGTTAGTGATCTGGCCATTTAAGTTTTACGATATGCAAAAAATTATACAATATAAAATTGTTTGTACTTCTGCAGTTTAAGTGCCTATTTCTTTATTAAGGATTCTTTCAGTGCTTAGAAGTAAGTGCAAAGGTAAATATTTTAGAGATTGAAGATAAATAGGGCTTTTTCTTTTCTCCTTAGACATTATCTCAAAATACCTCAAAAGTGTTTCTTAGTAAGGCTAGTACTTTACTACTACTTTTAAAATGTTGCACAATAATAATAATTTACCCAATATAGCCATCCACTTCACTTATACAGTACTTGCTATGAGGCTATTGAATATTTTATATGAAATGAAGGATTACATCAAACTACTGAGAAAATTTGCTTAACTCACTGTAGATGGTGTTGGTACATTAAAATAATCACCTTGTTTCCAAGGGATCTCTTTCAAATTGTCTTTCACAGCTGTAGGTATGATGGTTCTGTAGACAGGAAAAACATGATACACTTCAACACAGTTGATAAGGTTGTTTGGTTCTTTTTCCTGCAGATATAATAATGTATGAGAATCTTTGGTGTGGAGAAATGATGCTGCAGTCTACATTCAGCAGTCAGTTACTGAATCTGGGGAACTGCTCAGCTCTCAATCCAGAAGAATGTAAGAGTATAGTGCATAAATTTCCACAAAAATCACAGTAAAATATGTAGTTAAAGTACCCAGCTTTGTTGACAATGCATCATACACAGGATAAAATGGGAATGTGAGCAACTGAATGGTACGAAACACTATAGAAGAATATGACTGGAACACCTGTAGACAAGATGTGAACATGATGACATCAGATAGGCGTGTGGAGTTTATGGTGAAGTTGAGTGGTTACCATTCGAGACTGAACTCTGAAAAGCCAAATTCTTTAGTTTAAGAACACGCAGTTATCTTATGGTTGAGTCCTGGGATGTCTGAGATTTCATGAGAACTAAATTTTTTGCCTTAAAGACTTAAAGAATAAGTAGATCCATCCATGGAAAGTAATTCATTGCAGGCTGTTAAGCACTAAGTCCTTAAAGATACCTGAGCCATGGAGGGTTGTAGACTTAAGGGGAAAATACAGTGTATCACCATGAACTTGCATTGATCTTACTGTTTTCCTGATGTCCATTATTGCCAGCTGTTTAAGGCAGGTTCTGAGGTAGATGATCAGGAACAGCTATTCTTGCCAAGCTATGATACGAGATTTCTTTCCTGGTTTTGGTGTAATTCAAATTATTGTGCTTAGCTTAACTTTGTGATGTTATTGAGAGGAGGCAGATGAAGGAAAGTTTAATTTTTGGATCAAGTGTTAAACATCTCAAGAATTTCTTCATTTAGAATTATTGTGAAATGGTTTTGGTTTTGTCAGTGTAAATATGTACCAACTGATAAATTTTATACTTCTAAGCTTAATTAAAAAGGGTGCCCCTTTAACTTTGTTTTTTCATGTAAGTTTATCCTATAGTGGATGGTGGTGTTCTCCATGGCTTATTGGCATACATATCATCAGAATTTCCACACTTTGAAGACATTCCACGAAGACAAGTTCAGAGACTGGATAGTGTTCAGTATATGCAGCTAGACCAGCTCCAGCCAAATACATTGATTCACTCAATCTTGAAAATTATCAACATTGCAGTATTAACAGGTAAGTTCATGCACTGGATTTCAACTTCCAAAACTATAACAATAGATAAACCTTAAATAGTAATTTTGCAAGGCAATTCTGGTTGTTTCCCATTCCATACACCAGTGTTTGTTATAGGAGTCACACGTAAAACCTTTCTAATGATCCACTCATGGGGGTTGTAGCAGTTAGAGAAATGTGGTTAGAGACAGGAAGGAAAGGATGACTGTAGTGAGCTGCTGAAAAGAGGTTGCTGCGCTCCAGTGCTGATCAATAGCATACCTGCCTGTGGGAGAAGCATGCAGGCAGGGGGGCACTGATAATCAGCTATTATTATTTGCTAAGGGACTGGTGTGTTTTCACTAGGAATGAGCACTGACTGCAGTTACTAATGTACTGACTTGTCATTTTGAGCATCTCCACAGGACCAAGTAGCGTGGTACCTGATCTTCAATAAGATGGTGAATTGAAGAGATGCAGGTACAAAGTATACTGTTGGATGGTGGAATGACAACAGGAAGATCTTAGCTATGAGCAATATGGGCTCAAAATCCTTTTCAGGGAAGATAAGTGTGTATAGCTGGAGTGCTGAAAAGAGGGAGGTACTGCAGTTATGGCGGAGAAGCATAAGTAAGTTTAATGGCTCTGAAATGCAAGAGGTACATTCTTGCTATAGACCACTGCTTGAGAAGAGGGACTGGTTTATGAAAATGTCATGTGATACTGTCAAGCTTTACTAATTGAAAGCTCACCTGCCAACTACCTTCCAAGCAAGCATCCTGTCATTAAAGAAAAATTTGGTTATGCTATAAACCATGTGGTTTTAGAATGAAACAAGTTATTGATGATTTTAATCTCATGCTTTAGGATTTGCCTGCCTTTCTTACTTTATAATGGAACTGTGTTGCTCTTTTCTAATGTTTTATTCAAAACATTTCTTGTTTGTTTATTTCTATTTTGTCCTACTTAGAATAGATTTTTTTAAAGCTAAGCATTCCTGGTTTCTTAAATACGTGCAATATTTTTTTATAATAATCCTTACTTGTGTGCCTTTTTCTACAAGTTCTTTTTGATTTTCAGCACTGGAAAGTACTCAATGTGAAGCTATTAAGATATCTTACTGTGATACTCCTATTTCTTCTGCATAGGCACAACAGAGTGTTACCTCATTAATATGGTTTGGTTTGGAAATATGAGTTTCCTGTATGTTTTTATTGTAAAGACCCCTCTCCCCCAAAGAATCATGGTCAACGGTCTATGTACTGATTTTTTTGAGTTTATTCTTATGTCACAGATTCCTTTTCTTCTAATAGTGAATGCAGTTATTTCATGATTTTGCTGAGTCAATTTTCCATAGTAAAATTAATAATTTGTTTCCATTTCTTCATGGTCAGGCCTTATGGCTGCTTCCTGTCTTCTCCACCTTCTGAAATGAACAAAACCAAATTATCTTGGGGCATTCTTAGTATTTCATGCAGTGTCTTGCCATCTTTTCCCTGAATAACTGTTCTGATTATCTTTTCTTTACAGTACCACTGTTTCTCAGTGCTTGACTTCAAGGTTTGCATGTAAATTTGATCATATTGCACTATCATCTTGTAACACTCAAATTTTTACCCACGTTGTCAATATTGTGTGTATTCATTATAAATGGAGAATTTTGAAGATAGAAATCTTCATATTTTATTATTGTACATAAATCTCAGAACTGTTAGATCCTTAAAGCAAGAGCTCTTGCTCAAAAATGTTTATGAAAAATTTTAGTTTTAGTGTGGAACTGAAGCTTTCAGACGGTATCTTGGGTAAAAGTGCTGTAGCAATCTTAATCATTTCAATTCATATGCACTGTTACTAATCCTTAGTATGTTTGTACATGACCATAGCTTGCTTTTGTGAGAAAACTTCGAGAGAAATGTCTCTTCATATGTATTCCACGGAAGTTACAGGACTTTAACTTCCAATTATGATAGTCTGTTGCTGAGAGACTGAGTACAATTTATTTCCAGTTATACCGGTCAGGATGATTGTGTGCTGTTTCAAAGGGAAGTGTCCAGTTGCTGAGTATTTAAGTGGATAAAGGTAAATTAGTACACTTCATGCATTCCTTCAGACTAGATTCATGTTGTTGAAGAGATCAGATTGCTTTAAATCTGTCCTGAAGAAACTGTAGGTGTATTATTGGTTTGCTTATAATTGTACCATAAAATATGATAGCAGCATGATTTCATCTTAATATTGAGGCATGTGGGTTTTGTGTGTTTATATGCTTTTTACTGCAGAAGTCATATAATTTCAAACTTTTTCAGAGTCTGTGTATAGCTACAGAGGTGGCAACCAAAGAAAAATTGTTCTTACAGTAGAACAGAACAGAGATCAACACTATAGGATGGTGCTGTGGGGATCAGGGGCTGCCTGGTGCCCTCAACTTCAAAGGAAAAAAGGTAAGGTCCTTGTACCTATAGGTAGCTGTAAAGGGATTTTTATGATGCTATTAATATCTTTAAAAAGCTCAGCTGGTAACATTTTTCCATTCAACCTTTAAATAGTCCCCTTGGAAGGGCAACATATTTGATACCAATTTTAACACTTTTCTGTTAGAAGCAGTGCCATCAGCAACAGAATTTGAATGCACTTGCTTTAGAAGACTGAGAAAGAATGAGTATTTAGAAACTTGAATCTAGATACGATATATACTGGTACCTATTAAAAAAAAAACCTTGAGTGCTAATTATGTTATCAGTTTTGTTGAGGCTTTCTTATCATTGCATAGTTTAGCTTGAATTGCTGTTTTTTTCTACTTCTGATTTTCAGTCTCTGCTTTCTACCTTATCCAGCCTTGTCAGGCTTTATATCCTAATGGTCTTGCTATCAAGTCTAGCTGTAACTGACTAAAAGCATCTCTTGCTAGAATTATATAGCCTATGTTTTAGCGGTGACGACTATTGAATTTTGGTTTATTCCTGGCCATGTTCTTTTAAAATAAGCAAAACTAGGTTTTTGTTAAATGAATAACTTAAGAGTTTGTGTTTCCGGTCAACAGATACACTTAGGAAGTAAATGCTGTATTACATGAAGTGCAGAATATGTCTTCCTAAAAAGCCAGTTTTTGTGTAGTGCAAAATAAAACCCAGAAAGGTTAAACAACCCCATAGTGAATCTTTATATATTAAATGTAGACACTCTGAATTGAGCTAGTTCCACTTCAATTTATAAGTAATCTGTACTCCTAGAAATCATTTAACTGCAAGACCTACCTCTAAACTACTTGAAGATAGTCCAATTTAAGCATTAACCAATAAACTTTACTGCAAACCTACATGGCTCTTATTTTTCTGCATACCTCAGAGTGAGCAGATATGTTAAATGCTTTGAAATCTTACAGAATTTAGTATGCTAGAGTATTGTACTTCTCAAAATACAGTATTTTAATTTTTTTTGTAGCTGCAAACACAAGATACCAGAGGTAATTTCTAAGACACAATATCATTCTTTGATGCTTAAAGCAGAAAAGTGTAAGATGGAGATCTCTATAGTAGTTTTTGTATTTGATGTAAAGCTTGTGTCTTATTCTCCAGCTAGTGTTCTGTGCCTCTAGCAGTTGGCGTTTTAATGATTAAAGGATTATCTGAAATTCAAGATAAGAGTGATTTCTCAACTGTTCAAATACTTAATCACAGACAAACCATGAACATTGGATCCCAGTAAGATAGCCAAAAAGATAAATTCACGTGATACTAAAGCATATACAACATAACAGTTAAATGGTGTGAGTGGGTTACAGGAAGAACACAATGTCTGTCCTTGCAAGAAGCCATAGCACAACTGTATTTGTTTACTGGTTACACTAGCAGATTGGAAACCTCATAGTCTTGTAGAGGAAGGTATGGAGACTTGTGATTTTTAAACTATCTACATGCTTAAAATAAAGTACATAAGACTATACAGTTCTAGAGCATCTAAAAGTTGTTGCCAGTAAATGTTACTTATTTTTAATCTCTTGCTAAAAATCAATCTAATCTTCTAGTATACAGTCATCAGACATTCAATTCATGTTTTACACTCATCTTGTTTAGATTACCAAAAAAGAAAGGTTTATTTCCTTAGATACATTCCTGTAAACTTAATTACTTATAGTTTACGTGTTTTGTGATCAGTTTTCTAATCAACAGCGGAATGTTGAATATCTGAATAATAGGTTAAATTCAGCTATCAACCAAATCTTGTACCCTAGTTAGACTATGTCCTCTACTTCCATATATACCCTCTTGCCAAGTGCCTGTTTGTTTCCTTCTGTTCAGATTTTTTTTTCTCAGTGTTGCTGTAGTGTTACTGAATCTTGCTTTGGACTGGAACATACTCAGTTCTGGGGAATGCAAGATCTTTGGTCAGATATGAGGTGCATGAAACTAGACTGATGCTCAGAGGACTTTTTTTTTTTTAGTATTTTACTGTAAAACACTGGGTCTGACAGATTTTTCATGAGCTTGCAATTTTAGCAAGTTATTCACCAAAAATCAGACTCATCCAAAATATGAAAATGCTTAAAGGTAGTAGTAAAATGCTTATATGGACAGTTGAATACAATAAAACAAACAAACAAGAAAAAGCCAAAAACCAAACCAAAAAACAACAAACAAACCTGAGGTTTTTTCTACCCTTATTTTCAGAAACAATTATTTTTGCTGTAACTTTCAGCTTGAGCAAACATGGGAAAAAGTAACAGTCTAAATGGTTATCAGAGTTGATTAATAAGCAGATACTGGATTCTTATAACAAAGTGAAGGACAGCCCAAAATATATTATTCTTCTATAATCTCCATTTCTAAAACTATTTTTCTTTATTACATAATCAATTGGAAGAAAGAACATAAATTAGTATTTTAAAATTAGAGCATTATGGAGATAAAAGACTAAAACCAAGGACATATTAAAGATGGAAGTTGATTAATAACATGAAGATTTTTTTTTCTTTTAGACATTGACAACTTTTCCTTATTAGAGCTGACAAGCAATTTCAGAACTGTTTTCTTTTTCCAAAAGCTGAATTGTCTTGAAAGCTGAATTCAGTGCAAGTGAATTAAAAGCATTGCTCTGCTATGAGAGGACTCATGAAGGGTTTATCGGTAACTGAGGTGAAAAACCCTACATGTCATCAGGTTGAAATAAAGTTGCCAGAGTTGACCATATGAGAATATATTGCTGATTTGTTTCTCATTCTTGTAAGTGACTCAAGCTTTCTATAAATTAACCAAGGTATAGAAAGTAAACTCCTCTGTTTGCTTTTTTGTTCTGTAGATCACATATGGGATTTTAAATACCTTCTGGTCCAACACAGTTCTGTCTCAGGTGACTTTGAACTGCACACAACTCCGTGGTCATCCTATGAGTGCTTGTTCGATGATGACAAAAGGGCAGTTGAATTTAGAGAAAAATTTCAGAAAAGCAAAACATCCCTCATGCAGATGACGAAGCTCTCAGCACATCTGGAGGAAAAATGCTCAGGTAAAGTTGTTATCCATAGCTCTGTAATGTCTGTTGTGCAGTGCATAAATAAGCAAAACAGATGCTCTGTTGATCAAGTAAAATGTTGGGGTGTTTTTAAGTTAACACAGTTCTAAGAGTCTTATTCTGGAGGCGGCTGCTCAGTGCCCAGGCAAGCTGTGAATGAAGCCCTCATTCAGTGAGCCCAGAGGTGAGATAGGTGTGGTATGTGGTATCATACAAAGCTAGCTTTGGAACACAGGGAGAGATGCTGCCATTTATTGTCCACACCAACCAGTCTAGTAATGATGTGATTAATCACTGAAAGTTTGTCAAATAGTATTTCACCAAAACTGGAATTCTCTAAATCGAGTAAAATAACTACTGCTATTGAAAATTTGTTACAAAAGAACAAAAAATACGTTATACACAAACAGTCACCCCCTCCCAGATAAACCTAGAAGATCTCTAAAGTTGGTGTTAAACATTAAGAAGTAACTAAATAAAGTTGGTATTGCAGCATTTAACTCTAGTTTATCTATAAATAGTGAAAAGCTAAGTTGCTAAAGCTGTGCTTTTCAGTGTCTCTGAAGTAGTGTGGAAGAAAAGCAATTAGAATTTACTTGCACAATTCTAATCTCTTGATCACTTATTCAGGCTCTTCTGTAGTGGTGTCTACCACAATAGTACCTGAAAACGTAGTACTTCTATAAAAAAAAAAAAAAAAAAGGCTAAACAACAAAAAAAATCAGCGTTTTATTGATAATGAGTTTTGGTTTGATTCAGCTGTAACCCTTGCTTTTGTTTTCAGTTATGAATAAAACTGGATGTATATTTGATTGAAATTGTTATTTTTATAGGTGTGATTCAAGTGAAAGCCCATATCCTAGAACTGAAGTTTACCATTTCAACTGGTCAGTACAAACAACTCATCTTTCGTGCTGACACTTCACTGAAGTGTGTTCTGGCTTCTCTGCCTATGATCACATATTCAGGTTGTGCTAAATGTGGCTTGGAACTACAGGCAGATGAGAACATGATCTACAAGCAGTGTATCAGATGTTTGCCATACAACAAAGTAAAAACATTCTACAGGTAAACAAAGTAAAACTAAAATCATATGTGCTGTTAGGGAAGTAAACTACAACTTTCTCCATTTTAAGTTCCCCATATATAAAATTCTATATTTACGGTGTAGTTAGCAATTCCTGTTTTTCTAATGAATTTTCAAGGAGCTGTTCTTGAATTGCTGTATTATATTGCCATTATTTATAGGTGATATTCTTTGCTTAAATCTAACCTTTTAATTTCTTTGACTACTATGTCATACAGTAACAAGGTCTACCCAGTACTGTGTGAGTAAACTAAAATGGAGTAAAAGCTTGAGGACCAACAGAAAACTCCTTGAGCATCTTGTTTCAGCCTAAGCTTGAAATAGTGTGAATGCACAACCATATTTTTAAACCGATTAGCCAATTTTAGCCTTGCAGAAATAAAATGAACAAATGTTTTCAATAAGCGATCTGACAAAGAGCAGAGATACTAAGTTATCAGTAGATGGCACTGCAAGACAAGATGTATATGCACCTTTACTTAGAGAAAATGAACTAAAAAAATTCAGTTGATGTAGGAACATTAACAACTACTTGTTCAATTCTTACATTTATCTTGGGCTTTTGAAATGTAAATATCGTAGCAACTTGAATGATGTCTAGGTAGAGAAGGTTGACACAGTTATAGACATAATAGAATTCCAGAATGTGTAAATTTTCTACCAAAATTAATTTCTAAAATTATTACTAAACTATTTCATAGTTTAATAGTTTAATGAATCATTGCGTACTCAATAGTTTCTCCCTTGGCTTTGATTTAAATACTAGAATCCCATTTGCCTAATAAGTTAGTGACATTGTCTTTTTCTTCTATGCAAAATAGTCTTGCATCTTTAAGTTTATATGCTATTTATTTTCCTATGTGGGAGGATTAGGTGCAAAGTCCTTTCTTAACTGAAAGGATTCCCCCTCTCAAAATTATGACCTCTCACGTGGTCCTGAAGGACCTCAATTTACTCTTGCACAAAAAGTGATAGAAAAATGATAAAGATTTCCAACCTTTGTATTCTCAGGATATGAGCACATCTTGATGTGGAACTTAAATGCACAACTTTTTTAAAGAAAAGTCTGTCATTTTTGCACTGAAATTTTGCTCTGAATCCATCTCTTTGGTAGTGTTTCCAAATTCTGTATTGTACGGTAACTTAGTACATTTACATTTTAACAGGAGAAAAATCAGTCTCTTGCTAAAGAAACATCTTGTTAAACTGATATTAATTTATTAACAAAATATGCTGTCCTAGCATTTTTGTGCTACTCAACAGCTTGATATGTCAATGGTTAGTGTTAGTCTTGTTTATAAAACTGTATGCACAACTAGTAGAGAATTAATATTTTTTTTTTTGGTAGTTTGCTAATTCACGTTCCCTTATCACAGATTGGTTTTAATCCCTCAATATAAGGAGGTAGTAAATTCAGTATGCTCTCTTTCTAGCAATGCAATAGCTACCAGCATCTCCTTGGGAGTAAAATGCATATTGTTTTCTACTTAGTATGAGTAAATGTAATAATACTAAATCCTGCAGACTTCTGACAACATAGGATTAGTCTGTAATTTGATTTGCTTCTTTGTGATTCAAGGAATGTGGTAACTAACAGATTTTTATTATTATTATTTTAAGAATATGAAGATTTAAGGTATGAAATAGACACTGTGATAGGAAAATAAATATTATGATAGGATCGTGGTATTTGAGTCACATAGCCTTAAAATCTTGGGTGTCGATACTGTAGGTCAGTGAAGCCGTTCCCTATTATCTTTTTCCTTTGAAATGTAGCAGTCCATTTTGATAGTACGCTGCGATTGTTACGAAGATCATCTTTTCCTTCAGATGCTGAAGACACAAGCTTTAGATAGATGCATGTGTATAGAGCTTTCTTTTTTTTCTAAGTTAGATACCCAGAACACTGAACACTTTAACAGTAGCAGTAGTAATGAGGCAGAAGGTCCTAGAAACTTACATTTTACTTAAGTGCTATCATATAATGTGTGTAAATATTTCCACATTCTTTTTGAGCTAGGACAATATAAATATCAAGCTAGAAAAAATCATGAAAACTAAGACTAGGAAAAATATTTTGTATTTCAGAGTTTACCTCCTAGATTTCATGTATCACAGACAGGTCCTTGTTTCTTTTATCTGTTTTTGCCCAAACTTTCAGTTTCCGAGCATCTTTTCCCTGAAATTTATTATGATAATATTTGGTATGATTGGTTCAGATAATTAATTTTTCAGTCTATACCTATGAGTGTTTGTCATTTGAAAAGATGAACACTTTAACAGTACCAGTAATGAGCTAGGAGATTCCTAGGTACTTATGCTCACCAGGGATTGAATCTAACCTTTCTGTACTAGTGGAAAATCCCATTTCACTGGCATGCTTCACCAGCTGTGTATACAGGTACTAAAGACTATTTACTCAGTAGCCTCTAAGGAATATTTTAGTAGAACTATGTTTAACTTTTGTGAAATTTAGTTATATCCTTAAATATGTTTTTGTTCTACAATGATTTAAATTCACCATATTAAAACCAGTGGTATTCAAGGGATAAACTTAATCACAAAATTGCATTTTCTGGTGATGCTAGTGAAATAAACTTAACAGTATTGGGTTCTGTTTTGAAGTCTGTGTTGAATTTTTCTCACCATGACGGTTCTGTCTTGAAGTAAATCAGCTTATCTGAAAGACTTAGATGACCTTGAGATCAGAGAAACAGGTAGTCAGCATATAATAACCAGGACTGAATCAAAATTAATCTTTCCTAATGCATAGCTTGGTTTGCTAGTTACATCTGTAGACCACATTTGCCTGTGGTTTTGAAAGCTTTAAATTTTGTGACATCTATTAGTATGTTTCTCTGCAAATGTATTCATGTTAATTATACTGTTTCCAAAATGTTGATTTGGTGTTTCTGGAAGTCATAATAATTTTCATGTACTTCAGCATAAATTGTGTAAACCAAAATACATTTCTTCAGAGATAAAATTCCAATTGCCCATAATTATTTGGGAAGCTGAGCATGTAAGTGTACTTGTTAAGCTTTCTCTCGTGAAGGGAGCCAGCAGTCTTTAATGACAACAGATAGTCTGGGCCTTGATTTCTGTCTAAAACAACAGATTTGAAATAATCCCACAGATAATCAAAAATGGAGTTCTCTTATCTCTTTTGATCAATTAAGATTATGAAATTTAGCAGTAGCTTTTAGATTAACAGATGGCAAGTCAAATGATTTGCCTACTGGGAAAATGGCATATTCGCAGTCATTCACTTTTATGCCTCACAGGCATTCAAATTACTGCTGTTAGGTATATTTTGCATCATAACAATGCAGTTTTCATTGTCTTCCAGGAAGAGACCACTACTAAAGCATTATTTTCTTCAGTTGTCTGAAAGTAAGATTTACTTGATAGCTTTAGAAGTTATTTCAACATTGAGTAGTAAATTCAATATACATATTTCAGTCATTCCAACTCTGCAGATTTGACAGAGATGAATGCATAGAGATTTTGTAGTTTTTCTAATTCTTAGTGTTATATTGGAGGATAATATTACATTGTATTACTTTCAGTCAGAAATTTTATTTCAACCAAAAAAACATAGCAGCTAACTGTCAAGAATCTCTTGTTTTCTGATCTAGACCTGCTTTGATGACAGTAGAAGATGGAGGATATGAAATTTATGTTCATGTCGTGTCTGAGTTGGTAGAAAAAATCTTCCTCAATATTCCTGCAGACTGGCTGAACAGATTAGTAGGTACTGTTTCATTAATTACTTGTGATAGAAACAGGCAGCAAAGTTCACAATGGAAGTAAAATTTTTAATTATTGACAATTTAGAATTGTCATGAGATTGTTCTGGAAATACAGTGATTACTCATTGTATGAGACAATAAAAACTCAAAGAGAACACTTCAGTTGCTGTCTGACAAACTCAAAAGTTCAGAGTTGAGGTAGCAACAAGAGGTGAGATGGTATGAACATTTATGTTATGTAGGTATTCAGTAACTAAATGGATTCCTTATATGCAAAACAGAATCTCTTAGCAGTTTTTAGAAATAGCTGACATGCTTTCATGATGTAAATAACTACGCAGTGTTTCAGACAGGTTCTCTTGTTACATTCTGTTTGACTTCTTGAAGTGTTTTACATGATTTGCAGGTGTTAATTTAATGAGAAATAGTCTTAGCACATTGTTTTCAAAAAATTACTGAAAACAAAAGCTAATTTTCTGTTCAGATATTGAGCCACACTTCCAGTGATGCAGTGTAGCTTTCACGGAGGTGGAACTTGAATGTTAGGTGCTATGGTGAAATAGTGAATTGGATTGTTCTGTCTTTTGCAGTGCCTTCTTCAGATGTAACCTACAGCACAGTGGTAGCAGATCTGTGTCATTTGCTGCTAGCAGATACAGAAGCATCCTATTTATTGGAAATTCAGAGCCATTTTGTGCTAGATGAAAACAGCTGTCCTTTGCAAAAGGATTTCCATCTGCTAAATTTTCATCCTGATCTTTGAAGCACTGACCTCTGCAATAACTGAGTAACAGAGACCATAGGAACACACAGATGGCAAACAGATGAAAAATTAATTAGCTCAAGGAAGCGAATCTCTTTACAGTAAACGATTTTGGTTTTAACTTATACAAAAAAAAAAAAAAAAAAAGGACTGGTATGGAATATCTGCTAATAGTATATATGCTGCTGTAATACTGATAAATTATCGTAAAGTATATTTTTATACATACATTTTTATCTTAAACTCCTACTGGGTATCTGTTTTCCTTTTCTCCCCAGAAAAGTTCACAAATATTGAGAGACAATTTTTCTCAGATATGGCAGGTTAGAGGAAGGCAGCCACAGTTCAGTAATAATTTAATTATAAGATTTTTATTTGTCTTAACCATGTTATAGAAAGTGTATATGATAAGTCTTTGTTTGCTTTGCTGTTGTGGTTGCTTTCCTTCTGACAGTGGAATTTCTGCTGTTTACCATCAGCAATTTTGCTGCCATTGTTTTCTCTTGTAAAACAGAACTGTCTCACTGAATCTAATCTTGAAGTTATTGCACAAATTTAATTAAGAGGTTTTAAGCAGTTTAAACTGCTACATTCTTTCATGGACCCTTTAGATTATTTAATTGTTGTAGTATTTATTATTGTAGTATTTGTCCAGCATAAGCTGGCAAATAAACTTTATCACCTTAAGCCAATTTAATCAGTTTAACACTGCAAAACTTTCTCCCAAATTGATCAAATTTGGAAATGAATTAAATTCTTTTTAAAGCTGTAGTGTATTCTGATAGTGATTTTTGTCAGTAACAGATGAAGTGATGACTGCACCTGACTTCATAAAGTAACAACCTCATAACTATTACTCTGCAGAAGCGATTAAATATATAGATTGGTATTTTTCTCTGATCTAAATTGTGCCTCTTAGAGAGGCTGGTAGGAGCTCTAGGGTGCGAATTGTATTCACTGTCTGGCTAGATCCTTGCAAATCTTCACCTGCACTGTTCTCAAAATCAGTTTCCACGTACACTGCTTCAGCTATCCTCGGGCTTCAAACACAGAACTGTTCTCAGAACTGAATTCGATAAGTTGTGAAATGTATTATAATGCAAGTAATGTGACTGAACAGCTTCCATATGCAGTTTCTTACAATTGAATAACCATGTTTGTTGGTGCTAGTTTGGACTCTGTATCTCAGGTGAAAGCAGTTTGGAACTGTTGTTTTTTAATTATGTTGATTAGAGCTATGTGTAAGCCATGTGTTTTCATGTGTACCAATAAAGGGAAAGGTAGTATTGTTTCTGACCAATCTGGAAGCAACAGACACTCCTAAGGATTATTGGATGACTTTGAAGAAATGAATTCTCAGCTGAAGTTTCACAGTCACTTACCTTATTTCTGTATTTAACTACTTGTGTACTGATCAATCTGGTCAGATTCTATTGATCAAACAAGTTTGTATAGCTCTGCTTCTCATAGCAAACTCAGTCTTCTGATTTAAGCCGTAGCCCTTTTCTAATAAAATAATTCCCTGTATTTTTGTCGATCTCTGAAAGAGTCTGACAGTTCTGTCAACAAGCATAGAAATGCTGATCTTACACCAGCAAAATAAATTTCCTGCTGTGCCAAGATACCAGAGACTAGTATAAACCAGACAGCACAGTGACAGCAAAAACTGTGCTCATCACTAGCAGCACTGGTGTGCAAATCAGATGCAAATGCCAGGACAAAATCTCCAGAAGAAAGTAGGTAGCCCCTTATACAAAGGAAACACTGTAGAGTCTCTGCTAGAGGAATGATAATTTCCAGAGTCGAGCCTAGGGCAAGGGAAAACCAGTCACAGAAGAGACTAATTGTAGTATCCCCATCTGGTGATAAAGAATGAAAACTTACTTTTGCTACTGTTAAGAAGTTGTGCTAGAGATGATCACAGGAGACTAGCAATGGCTGAATTTCATCTTACTGTAAAAACACTTCAGGTTCATGTGACCTGGCAAAAACAGACTGACATTGTCTTAACCCATCACCTTGGGGAAAGTCTTAAGCATCTGTGCCTTTTATACCTTATTCTAACTGTGCTTTACTCGCTAATGTCTGGTTCTAGCATGTGAAATTCTTAATTCCAAGGAAGACTATATTGAAGGGAAGAGCAGTTTTAGTGTTTGGATTTAAATGAGGTATTGGCACCACTGCTGGTCCTGTATAAGTGAGAACATTTCACAAGCATTCTGACTTTAAGACTCTTAAAAACCAGACACTGGTTACATTAGCAAAATCCTAAAGATTGTTTTACATCCTATCGCTGTGTGGTCTCATTAGAATGATTTGATAACTTCAGGCAGAAGTCATGCCGTTTGGATTGGTGACCTGTGTGTGGTTAACCACCAAATTGTATATACTGTGGTTAGGTTTTTCCAGCTGACTTGGGGACCTGACTCCTCATTCTCTTCTCATGATTTTTCAGATCACCACTCTGACTGTTGTTTCACATTCCTTCTTGAAATCCAAGCTACAACTATGACACCATAATTCATTGTTAACTTTAATAAATTTACCATAATTCTATAGGGGTTTTTTGGTTCCTATATTCACGTTAGGAAATTCTATGTAAAATTTCTAGGTCCTGCTACCTTATGTTTACTATTTCAGACTTTTCTCCCTGCCTTTCAAACAGGAAGCCATTTTACTTTCTGTGCCTCCATCTGGCATAGAGATTTCTTCTGAATGAGTTTTGTGATTCCTTATCACTTGTAATGAATCTTGCTCCTTTTCAGTTTCATCAAGCTGCTGCTTTTAGAATGTTTTGTTATATTAGGAGCAAGCAATTATCAAATAAATCCATCTGGTCTGCCATTTCCTCACTTAGAGGGGAAGGATAGAGTAGTGCAGATGGCAGTGATCATTAGGCTTCCTAGAAGACTAGTATAGGTGTAATTTTAACTGGGAGAGAAGGTGGAGAGTGATCCACAAAGGAATATAAACACATACACTGAATAGTGGTAGGGCAGCTTCTCCAAGATCCTGTTTTCTAGAACAAGAATGTAACCATTATTGTCTGTTCTAAAATGGTGGTAAGTTGCTGCTCACTGTCACTTGATGGGGTTGTACTTCCATTGTTATCTGCTAGATTTATTGCAGAGTTTTAAAAATTAATGTATTTGTCAATAGTAATGAGACGTATTGAGGAAGGTATCACGTTTTGTATGATCTTGTATCTATTTTTTGTGTATTTCTTGGATGGGGTTTTTCTGTGCTGTGCATCTTGGTAAATTTTTTACTTTTAGAGGAGAAGCACCGTTATGCACTTGAGAGGTCTTGTAATCACTATTCCTCCATCTCACTAGAAGTCTCAAGCACAAGACAGGATGGATGATTTGTAAAAGGCAGTAGATAAAAAAGTTGCTTGATTATGTGACATTTGTTAACACTGTATTGTAACTCCTTACTTAATAATGTTTTTTACTTTACTGGAGTAACTCATCTAGGAAGAGTCAAAAGGGACCTTTCCCATTTATTTCACTTGGATGACCTTGGGCAAGTAAGTAAGGGTGGTAAGTGCAATTAAACATGTTTCTTCATAATTTTACCTGGAATTACTGAACATACAAACTGGACGCATAAGAAGCGCAAATGGGAGACCACATTAGTACAATACATTGTTTTATTGGACCATACTGTACATCAAGTCAGCTGACTTACTTTCTACTGTAGCGGTATTTATGTTCATAGACAGTGTACATTACATGCATCTTCCTGCAGAATCTAGTAAACCTGTCTGAAACATTCCTAATAGTTTAAGATCTTTAATATTTATTGTTATGATTTAAATCATAGAGCGGCATAATGTATTTAGTAAAATTGCTTTAGTATAGTAATACAGTTATCATAGAGTTTATATATAGTTTTTCTTCCCATATTGACTGTGTCGCCTGTTAGATTTGTTTTCAGTGGTTTTGTAGGAGTAAAATTTGAAAACAGCTCTCTGGGTTTGGGGGTGTTGGTATTACTTACTTAATAGAGATATGAGGGTTGAACATAAAATTCAATAAATGTAATGAATCTAAGATCATCTTACATCCCGTGGTACACTGAGGAAGATGGACTGAGGGTGACATGTAACGTTTCAAATGGGGGATCAGGTGGAGTCTGTTATCTTACTTTTTTTTTTCAGATATATTCTCATTCATAGTATTTCCTTCAGATAATAATATCAAAATGGAAAGTGTTCTCATCTCATTTTTTTAAATATATTGAATTAATTAATATTGTATCCTGTTTGAAAGGAAGCTGGCTTTTTCAGCTGCACAGATTATGGCCCTCTTGGAACATCATTGTACAGAATGTTTTGCTGCAACAGTCTGTGAGTCTGGTTTATGACTGTACGGCGTGAAAGGTGCAGAGTTCAGGTCCCCGGTGAACATTCAAGAGGAGAAGAATGTCCTATTTATTCTAATTTGATGAAAAATAATTGCTCTGAATTATTTTACAGAACAGTAATTTACTCAACAAAGAAAACTCTACCACTAAAACAGACGTATGTTCTGGGGGCTTAACCTAATTGGATTTTCAATTTAAGAATGGTCATACTAGGTCAAACCCAAGGTTCTTGTAATCAATGCTCCGTCTCCAGCACAGACGTGTTTAGGGAGAACTATGTAAGGGTAGGACAGGTCCCTTCTATTACTTTCTCAGAGTACACCAGTACTTCTTCAAGCCTCCACTGATTTGTGACCTGAGGACTACTTTTATGCTTCTTCCTGAGTGTCAACACAGTGTTGTACATTGAGGCCAGCTGAAAAAATCTAACTGAATTACTGCAAGAAATAAACTGTGCTGAGACCGGGTGCTTCTAGGTTTTTTGATCAATAAACACTCAGTGCTTTCCACCATTCATATTCAAAAGAGGTTTTAAATATAATGATGCTATTTTAAATAAATTGTAAGTTTAGTAGTCAGTCAACATCTTTTGGGCTTTGTTTTGGCATGCTTACTGGGCTTCCATCCCTTTTGGTGAAGCTCCTCTGTCCATGGTGATGCAGTGCAGTGGATAGTCAGGCCTGGTATCATTGACAATTCTTAGGTCATTGTTAGGTTCTGTCCTCATGATGGATGATCATTCATGCCCAGAACACACAACCAAGAATTGAAATGTACAGGTCAAAATAACTAATACTGGGAGATGATGTTTGTCTTCCTGTTTTGTTTACTTTGCATGTTAATTAAATTAGAAGTATATTTTGAAGAGAGGAGAGTTCCATCCGTGGACCAAGTCTTCTCTTTACATTTGGGTAAGGAAAGATTTTGCTTATTTTATTCTTGTCTACTTAGGAGTATAAAATGGTCAAAGACTGTACCCTTTATCATTAGATTATGAAAGATTGTGAGAGCTTTTACATATTAAGGTGGGTTTTTTTATCTGTGCTGTTCACATGCTGTGGCAGAGAGCATGCCATCGTTTAACCAGTTCCTTGGGCTTGCTGATCATTTCATTCCAGTGTTCTAGTTCTTTGCCACGGGTGTACATGAAAGGCCCAACTACTACACGTCCAAGCAGATGTGTTTCTGGGGAAAAAAAGAAAGCAGTTAGTGATTAGCACCTGTGAGTGCTTCTCTGAAATCCTTACCTAAATTAGAATATTAACTTGTATTTCTCTAATGAATGCATGTTCTGAAAGTTATTTTTAAATCAAAATTTTCATTAAGGAATTCACTCTAGATTTCAAGTTCTATATTTTCTATATGCTAAGATTCTGCATTAGAAGGTACTGCAGTAAGTGGGTATTTAGTTGATTCAGGCCTACCCTATAGCCTGCACTCTAAAGTAGAATCAGTTTCAGGCACACAGATCTGTATCTGCCCAGCCCCTCTGCCTCAATTGCCTGAACTTTTCAGCTGTGGATGGGGAAAATAATTTGAACCTGCCTTACATGAACTTCAGAATGTTTGTAAAGCATTTGTCTGTCCACAAGTGAAAATGATGGAGTACTGATCCTAGCTTCTGTCAATTCTCAAAGCCAAAGCACCTGCCCAAGTCGTACCTAAATGAATTTTTTTAGGAGTGTATGAATCCAGATAAGGGTATTAATGTTTCATTATTGAGATCATATTTGCACTGCAGGGAAATTGGTTTTCTTGTGAGCAGTTGAAATAACTGAATTCTGATTAGCTTCTGTAAGCAGAACACCTTAATGGATTCTCTGACAATTAGTAAGAGATGACTTCAAGCATCTGGTTTTCTGCCAGGCAATTGGGGATATTTATAATCTCTTTATTCTTTCTTACTGCTTGAACTGCTGTGATAATTAAAATTCCTATTTCTCTTTCAAATTTGGTTAGAAACAGTGAATAGCTTTAAAATTTGGCGGCTGGGGATTATATACACAAGTGGTCACGGAACGTAATTGCTTAAATTTGTTTTCTTGGGATACCAGAATGAAACAAATACAGCACCTTGTACTGACAATGGCTAGCCTACAGTTATTTGATTCATCTTCCATTACATTTATCTTTAGCCTCTGAAAGAGAGACATATACTTACTGCAAATAAATTGTTCTGCTTTCATAAAGAAACAGCCTGGGAAATACCCCAAACCTTATCTATTTTTTTATAATTACTGCTGAAAGGAATTAGTTCCTCCCAGATTTAAATACCTCTGCAGTATATAAGAGATTTATGACAACTAAAATGTAATAATTTATACAGCTTACTTTCTCCCTTGATACTTTGGAGCACAGATAGACTCAGGCTTGCTGTATCCAGCTCTGTCTGATCTGCCTTGAAACTGAAGGTTTCATTATACACTGGGTTGGGAGATCCCAGAACAGCTGCTGTCTTTTTACTTTTGATGAATTTATTATGGTTCATTAGTGAGACTTTGACATACACACCTTGGAGAAAAAGAAATTCAAGAAGAAAATACATCAAAGGCAGTTGGAAGAAGGCTTAAGGAATTTCTCACTTTCAGGAGTCAATAGTAAGTACAATATTAGATCATGAATGATTCATGAAACATATATGGCAGCAATGACAGCATAGCAATGTGTAACATTAAGCAGGGAGTACATAAAGTACTTATGGTACCATTTTTCAGTGCACTTTCCAATCTAAGAGCTGCTAAAAGGAGCAGTCATATTCTTACCCTGCATCCTTGATCTTATGTTCTGTACCTTCCCTTCATCTGATGGAGACTTTTTCCAAGGCTTAATTTGTTGCATCAGTAGTTAATTTCATATATTTGATCACATGATTGTGTGATCCAACACAAGGGAGGCTGTGAGGGAGGATCCATGTCAGAGAGCTGCAGCCTGTGCTTGGATTGGATATATTTTAGGGGAACAGATTCTCCTAGTCAATCATCCTTAAACTAAAGGTTTTATTAATGACTTCTAGCCCTGTGGTAAGAGATTCTGTAGAAGATTTGAGGAAAAGCTCAATTATCTCTGCTGTTCTAGAAAATAATACAAAAATTGTGTGTGAATGTGGGAACAAGAACAACCAAAAGAGTTTTGCTTTGCTTCCTGAAGGGGACCTGTATTGCATTGTGGTCTTATTCAGTAGATCTTTGACAATGACATCCAAAGCAGCCTGAAATTTTCCATTCTTCCCTACCCTTCTACAAAATTTAGTGACAAGCATGTAGAAATTTCATCTTAATTGATGGCTACAGATTTGTTCTTTTCCAGTGAAGTAGGAATAGGTTCCATGCTGCTACTGTGTTTATTACTCTCTGCTATTCAGTTAATTAGGGTATAGAAAAAATGATTAGAAATGTCAGGACTTATCATTGATGGACTCCTAATGTGTCCTTGTTACTTCCACACATCCAGTAGGCTCTCATTACTGTTTCAGAGGGTGCAGGATTACCAAAACAGACTTCATTTTATGGCAGAAATGCTACCTGAGTGTTATATAGGGAAAGAGTTACCATGTAAACTACTTGCGTAAAGTCTGATTTCCATTACTTTCTTGTTACTTCTTAATATATTAAATTCAGTAATTTGAATCTAAAAATAAATGTCCCTTTACTGTCCTATACTGCATACCATCCATCAAAGATTAGCGTTGCACTAATCCCTGTTAATATAGAAGATTTTTTATTCCAGTTTCTTCAGGGTTTACCACAGAATCTGTGTTCAACAAGGACAAGTGCAAGGTCTTGCACCTGGGGAAACATAATCCAGGAGTGCAACACAGGCTGGGATCTACCTGGCTGGGGAACAGCTCTGTGGAAAGGGACCTGGGGGACAACAAGATCAACAGGAGCCAACAGTGGGCTGCAGCAGCAAAGAAAGCCAACAGGATGCTGGGCTGCATTAACGAGGGCATCACCAGCAGAGATGAAGTCATCATTGTCCCACTACTCAGCACTTGTCAGGCCACACCTGGAATACTGTGTTCTGTTTGGGTTTCCACTATACAAAAGGACGTGGACAGGCTGAGAGAATTGTGTTTGTTCAGCCTTAAGAAGAGAAGGTTTAGGGGAGACCTTATCACCATGTTCCAGTATTCAAAGGGTGGCTACAAAGAAAATGGAGACTCCCTTTTTTACAAGGAGTCACATGAAAAAGTTGAGGGGTAATGGGTACGGGTTACTCATGGAGAGATTCTGCTTGGACATGAGAGGAAAATTTTTCACAATGAGAACAATCAGCCAGTGGAATAATCTCCCCAGGGAAGTGGTGGATTCCCCAGCACTGGACACTTTTAAGATTCAGCTGGACAGGGTGCTGGGCCATCTTGTCTAGACTGTGCTTTTGCCAAGAAAGGTTGAACCAGATGATTCTTGAGGTCCCTTCCAACCTGGTATTCTGTGACTGTTAAATTGGTAGAAGTTCTGGAGCTCTATGCTACAGAACTTCACAACCTGTAGGAAGAGACATGATGTATTAAAAAGTGTATTCTCCCTCTCTTGAAAAGCTATTGAGATGATGCAAAATTAGAACATTTGCTCTTAGTTCATGCTGCTACTTTGTTCATCTGCCACAAACCAGTCATATTTTTTCTGGCCATCCTTATCTTAGTTACTTGTTTTCTAAAACTAACACATTTTGTAATATATATATCTCTTTCAACAAGTGTATAGGGTATGATTCCACTTGTTGGAAAGCTCTATATTCTCATCATTTTACTGTGCATTTCTTCATTTATGAGTTTTAACTAAACAGAGCAAGTTTATCTCTAACATTATGAATGTAAATTTACTCATTTAGAGGGCATAAATTCTAAAGTTAAACATTGTGGTAACAGTCCACTCAAACCTCAAAAAAACTTCTTAGTTGGTGTGTTTATGTAGAGAACTAAACCTCTTTTCTTTTTAATTTTGGGGTTTATTTGGTGTTTATATTTTTTAGTTTCAAAGCCCTAAAAAAAATCACTACAGATTAAAACACAAGTTTTGTTCTTCCATCTATGTTTTTGCTTTGATTGTTTAGAATTTAAATAGCATTTTGAGGTAATCTGTATACTCAGCATCTGAAGCTAAGGACCCAAGCATGATGTACCAGGAAAATTGCACTCCCACTGCAGTACGGGAGAAAAATTGTGACTCCATGCCACATTCCTTTGAACAACAGCCAGGCTGTTTTTTCCCAGTTCAGGTCTCCCCAGGACAGCTGTTCAGTGTAAGCAGTTGTCCTGCAGCTTTTACCTCTGGGCTTTTGCCTCAATATCCCCTGAAATACTACCTTCTCTAGATTGGAGTGTGGCAAAGGGATGATGTTCACTGTATTAAAGTTGGGGAAAAAAATTGCTACTGATGACATGAGACAAACAATTTGTTAGGAAACAAAACCAAAACATAGCAGAATTGAGCTGTCAGAATCTAATTACCCCAGTAACAAAGTATGGCTTGTTTCCACTCAAATTAAATCACCCGGATGTTTATGTGCTCTTTTCAGAGTCGCTCTGCGCAAGCCTGGGTGGACAGATGAGGAAGGAGCAAATTAAAACAGGAATTCTGGAGCTGATAGCAGAGAGGAAATCACACTTACTGACAGCATGGCATTCCTCCTGGAGCTTTAATCCCCTTGCCCTCAGAACCACTACAGTGAGACGGCCCAGGTAGTCATTGTAGCTGAGGGAGAACTGGATATCACCATACTCTGAAGGAGGCTTTGGAAGCAGAAGAACACTTGTCATATTTTCACACAGATAAATAGGGGGGAAAGATCTTTATACTAGGGGTTTCTGCCACACTAAGGCATGTGAGTGAATTGTAATGGCTTGCTTCTTGCTGTTGTGACATTTGATAGAACCAATTAATCAGCCTTCCTGAACCTTTGAATTACAATCTCTTCCAGGTGATGCCTATTCCTTGACTCTTCTGCCTTTTTTCTGCTTTTACTAATTCAAAACAGAAGCGAATAACAAAATATGCCTTCTTATATGACTTCCTCCTAACTTATGACTTCCTGAGCAGCTGAATAATCCCTATCCAACAGCTATGGATCTGCAGGTTGGTAAGAGGTGAATTTTGATTCCAAATGTTTATCAAATACTTTTACCTTTGTTCTATTTGAAACTACATACTTCTACTTCATCTGTACCCCTCCAATACTTGTAAAATGGCAGATGTTGCACAATGCAAAGCAGCCTGATATCACATACCTCCAAGTTTTCTTTCTCCAGATCTCTCCATATGACTAGTTTGTTGTCATCAGTTAATGTTTCATTTTTCAGTGGGAAGACAACTTGGCCTAGGAGATGATGCTTCTTCTGTTTATCAATGTGATAAACCAAAAACTTCAGAGTCCTTTGGAGCAACATTTTACTGGAAACCTGTACAGGAAAAGGAAGAATATATTAATAATTATAAAACATCTTACACTTTCCTACTCTAGCATGACTTCAAAGGAAGACTTTTTCAAAGTCTGTTAAAGGTAGGTGGAGATTTCCTTTGATTATATGAAGTCCACTTTCTTAATTTGCCTAGGGTTTCAGCTATGCAGAAGTCTAAAGATCCAAGCTAAAATAGAATGAGTTCATTTGAAACATGTGAAGTTAGCTTGTGGTTTCTTAACTCATACAGATCTAGTGTTATATGATGTATTTACTTCCAGATACAAATGTTTAGAAATCTGTAAACGTTAATTTTTCAGTTGTCTGAAACACAAACTTTTTTTGTTTCAAAGCTTTTGTATTGTGACACCTGCTGAAAGTCTTTTGGCATAGGGAGCCAAGCTGCTAGCTCTACAGCACTAGACAAATAGTATACCAGACATCTCATGAGATCTAGTTTCTAGCCAGCTTCCACAGCAGAGAGACTAAAAGCTATGAAAGCATTAGTTCAGTATCGGTTGCTTCTGGACTTCTAGAGCTGCTGGGCTGAACTGCTCAGCCGTAGTTCAAACTGGAGTGGTTTCATCGTTCCTGGGTCAAGTTCTAGAATCCTCAACTTTGATGCAGACCATAAGAGCAGTCCTGGAGGCACAGACTTCAGTAGCCTAGGATCTTTAGAAGCCCCAGTAATAAATCCTATCTCCAGTGGAAACTACTTGTTTCTTGGTAGAAGTTTGTAGAAAATTAATTTTCACAAAACATGACAAGTCAATATTTGCAAACAGAAATCTGCTTAATCAGAAGGAAAAGTACCTGAAAAACAAAGTTTTCATCAAACTGCGGGTTAAGGGTTTTGTGTTTTGTTTTGGACTGCAAGTAGCTTCTTTCATCAGGCAGCAGGTAGATTTTCACAAACGGACAACAGGAATCATCAGGAGGCTGCAGCTTTCTGACTTTGATCAGGGAGACAAGGAGCCTTTCTGACTCTTGCTCATATTCTATGGAGAACCAGAGGCGGCCAATGTTGCCTTCAGGAAAATCCGTCTCACTTATGTCTTCAGGAAACTTGTACAGCTCTTGGTTAATGGTGCCTACAACATAAGCTCCAGCTTCATGAAATAAAACACAAGCACACTCAGATTAGTCTCAAGACCATAGCAGGCATTTTTATAACTACGGCTGTATTAGGGGAAATCACATTAATCTCTTTATTAAAAATCCATTAACAATCCCATTCTTGCAGTGCCATACCCAAAGAATGGAATGATGACCGTGGCCCAGACTGAGGAATCAGGTAGGGGTCGCTGCCTTCCTGAACACGTCCTTCCTTCGTCAGGTTAATCCAGTCTCGCCCATGCAGTGTTGGTGGAATGATAAATGGAATGCTTCTGGATCTGCTCAAGACAATAGCTACTGACTCTTCTGATTTAAATATGGAAACCAAACTTGTTGACAGTAGTAAGTTTATTGTTCTTATATCACAATTTTGTAAAAATTCTATGGAGGTGCATAGGTAGAAAATATAAATACCCATTGTTTTATAACTGATTTTATTTGTATAATGCCTAAAGGTCCAGCAAGGGACATCAGATCTTAATTCTTCAGACAGATCCCTCACTTCTTACCTTTAGAAATGATCTTTCAAAACAAAAAAAGAAAATTGCAGCTGCTTGTTTTAAAACCCCAAAGCCCTGCTGTGACTAACTTTCTATGAGAATCTCCGTTCTGAACTGAAGCCCTTGTGTTTGGTTCTCAGATGCTTCATTATAAGACCACCAGGAATGACTCTGGAACATAAGCTAAATAAAGCTATCCATGCACTAATTACTCTTGAATATATTCTCTTTTACATAAATCAGAAATAATCATTGCATTTATAGTTAAAGAAAGCATTGTTTTCCTAAAGGAACAAAACAAAACATGACTGATGTTTTCATATAATTTAGGGGTCTCATTTCTGTGCACGCATATATTTAGATCAACCCCTCATTTGAGATTTTACAAGTTGAAATAAATTAACAATAGTGTATACTTTAGAAACAAAACAAAAATTTGTACCTTATGCTTTTCAGTTGAATTCCAGAAGTTGACTGATCCTGAAAAATGGCATCTGTGTTTGTCATTTTGACAGGACTGCTGAGTTTTTCATAAGAAAGGAGGCGGCAAAATTTCTTCCAGAGCAGGTATGCAGTTATCCCAATGAGAACAAATAAAAGGATCCCTCCTATTATACCTCCAGCAACTGCTGGTTCTGTTCAAACATAGAAGCACATAAAGCATCAGAAGAGGATCAAAGTTATGTATGTTTTGGGGGTAGACAGGAATATTAAAGCTGACAAATTGATTTGATTTACATTCCAATAATATTTTTAAATTAAACATTCTGCTCACGTGCACATTTTTGTCTTTTCTTATAGCATGATACAACACCTGAAGATGTATGACATTGGCAGTGAGAGATTAGAAAGTGTTCAGATATGTTGGCAGTGATTGCAATGTAAGAGACTATAGACAGGAAAGAAAGAAGGAAAGAAAGAAAGGAAAAAACCAAAACAACCAAACAAAAACCAAAATGCCAAGAGTTGTTTGGGCCCTTATTTTACATTAGCATGGCAGAAGTGCTAGAGCTCTAATAACAAGAGAAAGAAAACCTAGGAGCACCTACTACAAAAGGTACAATTATTTTGGTTTGATTTGTTCTTCCAACTATTCATCTATGTTGAATTGAGAGTAGATCCTGGCACAAGGAACAAAGCATAGCTCTGCATTGTTTTCCTTCTAAGGCTGCATGTGTTTCCTGTTCTGTAAAGTCAAACTTAAGCATCCATTAAACACTATTTCCTGAATCTTGATTATTTCAGATAAAACCAAATCTTGTATAATTTGGGTTTTGTTTTTTTTCACACTAATAAAACTTAATAAATGTCTCCAATTTGAACATGAGGAATTCTGTTGTGAGGACTTCTCACTAGACCAAGGATAGACAATTGATAATGGGCTCAGGTCCTTGTTTTCTCATGTTTGCTGAGTATAGAAGTAGAAGGCTGGAAGGACCGCTTCTGCACTGTACCTTATACCCAGCCTGCCTCGGCCTACCACTAAACTAGTACCAGTGCATCAAGATATGACTAGGTCTCAGCTGAGAACTGATCCTACCAGAGTACCCTCTGTCTGAAAATGAGCCCAAACTGCAGAACTGTCTTCCACTCTGCAGCCATGGGAGAATCAGCTGAGTACAGTGTACTGCCAGGTCCCAGGGTCTCCCTTGAAATTGAAGCCACGACATGACCTGGCATTCTCTCACAACTGCTACTGACATTTTCCTCTTCTCTGTTTTTAGGTGGAGATAACTGTGATTAGGCTTTATTCCTTTCTCCTTTTTATCTGTACGTGCTTGGTAGATACCTTGCAGTTAGCCACCTCTATAAGAGGGTACAAGTAAATAAAGACAACACAAGCACAAAATCAGTCAACACTAGCTGACATAATTTGATACAGTTAGTTTATTGATTAGAGCTTTACAGAGAAAGGGAAGTGAGCTTTGCAATAAGTGACCTGAAATGCCCTTCAGCTGCAGAACACTTCTGTAAAGACCTTGTGCTATAAAATTAACCTGGCTATAGTGCCTATAAGGCCTTTATCTAATCCTATCTCATTTTCCTACATTTGGTACAGTCATAGGAGCCAACTTATTTCTGCAGCTCCCCTCCAGGTGTGTTGCCTTAGTTGTCTGCAGGAATTGGCTGGGTGCTTCCCCATGAGTTATATAATCACTTATGCCTCCAGCACCATAGAGCTACCATCCCGCTCATGGCTATACCACAGCAACAGGCACTTTGCTCTCCTTGCAACTGGTAGGTGGGCTGAATAGGTTTTAGGATTTAGTCAGGCTATTAATACAGTAGTACAAGACTTATTCCGAGGAACAGGAAACAAGTACCTATTTGGTATAATTGGGTTATGTTAATATAGAAATAAGTCTGGTTTTGCTATAGTGGTAACTTAGGGGTTTTTTTTCATATGAATGCACAGTATGAGGAAATGCATAACAAATGCAGTCCTGAGCTTGGAAACTCTGTGTGTTTGTTCCTCTTAGTTTTGTAGGGCATGCTCGAGTATGTCTTCAGTCAGATTGCTGTTTTATTTGAAGATAAGGCCAGGTGCAGAAAAACTCTTTAGTTTAAGGCCCATGAACATAATAGAAATTAATGGTTCAATTCATACAGGTGTATTATCAACAATACAAATGTTTATATGGCTGGTGGTTTTACTGCCTGATGTAGGTATCTTAAAGGTTACCATTTCAAGCAAGCTCAACAGGACTCTAACTTGTCCCTTCCATTCCCAAGGCTTTAATGCTCTCAGCAGCAGTCATGCGTTCACCCATAACCAACCTGTCACCATTTACCATTAAGGACAGTAAGCTGAGGTGTGCTGTAATGCTCTATGTAGTAGAGCAGCTATGCATTGATATTTGGAATAAGAGAATGAGTTTCCAATTTCTTAGTTAATAAGTTTAGTGTACCAAATTTGTTCACTGTAGAATGATATTAAGTATTTATGACCCACCCACTGGCCTTGGCTTAAATTCTGCTTTATTTTTATTTTTACCCAGTGGCAGATATAAGGTAAAGTTCTACCCATCTCAATAAAGCTACCTCTGATTTGATGAGGGTAAGGAGAATTTGGCTCACTTTTAGTCCAGCTTATCTGATTAGATCAGCAAGAGAACCAGTAACTTAGAGCACAATGTAGCACTAGACACAAAATCAACCATTGAAATAAGTTGAATCCATTGTATGCAGGGAGAAAACACGTATCTTTTAAAATAACTACCTGTCATCATGAGAAACTGATGTATTGTATTCTGCTGTGGTACAGGAGCATGGCAGCTGGACATGGAAGAGACCTGTGGGACCACTTCATCTCCAAGTGGCCTGTGCTGAGGGACTGTCCACCGTTAACAGGTACCAGGTTTAGCCTTGCACAGAGAAACGTTGATGGTCATCATCCGTCTCCTTTGGGATTGGATCTCTTCTTGCTTAGTGTCTGATGATATCTGCTTTTAATAAAATTTTCTTAAACTTTGCAGTAGGCCTTTGGGAGTTACAACCAGCCCATTCTCTGTCAAAAGCTTTAATCCCTGTACAAATACTCAGATTTATTAGCATTTACAGTATAAGCGTTTGTACAGTATGAACCGAATTATCTGGGGTGGGGGATAAGCTCTTTGCACTCGCTGTGTCTGTGTCTCAGAGCCTGGCTGCCCTCTGCCAGCAGCGGGCTCCGGGCCGCGAATAAAGGTCGGAGGTGCCGGGCAGACCCACCGGCTCCGGGAGGAGGTCGGACGGCTTCGCAGCCCTCGGGGTTCAGAGCCAGCTTTGCTCCGATTTCCTACCCAAAGGCTCCGCAAGCGCTAGCGCGGCGGGCCGGGCCGGGCCGGGCCGGGCAGCGCTGCGCACCGCGGAGGCGGCGGCTGCCCGTTTCCCGAGGAGGGCGAAGGCTAGCGGCCCGGGGGCTAGCGGCGGCGGGAGGCGCCCACCGAGACCCCCTCCTTCCCACCTCCCGTCCCCTCCCGTCCCGTCCCGTCCCGTCCCGTCCCCACCGGCGCTTACCGGGCTCGGGTTCCCGCGGCGGCGGCGGCCCCGCTGGCACCTCCCGCCGGGCCGGGCCCGGGGCTGCCGGCGCTCTGCCCGCCCCCCCCGCCCACTATTTAAGGGCCGGGAGCGCCCCGGGCAGGCCCTCCCCGGCCCGGCCCGGCCCCGCGGCTGGAAACGCGCGTTAGAGCAGAGCCAGCCCCGGCGGGCAGCAGCCGGCCTCGCAGCGCCGTCCCACCCCGCGCTGGGCTCTTCGTGCCGAAGCAGCCCACGCTGTCAGCCCCCGGAGCGCGGGTGGGGACGGGGCGCTGCCGGCACGGATTGCCAGCAGCGCGGCGGCTGTCCTGGCTGGGGAGGGACGGGTGGAAACATGCGGAGGAGTAGCCTGAACCTTCCATCAGCCCTAAAAAGAAACCCGTGCGACATCGGCTACGTGAGATTACTTCGAAAACTACAGTGATGCTCAGAAAAGGACTTTGAAATTAGTAGCTTAATTCTGAAAGTTCCGGTGGGCAGGAAATTATGGAGCACTTGTTTCAAACTTTCAACAAAATGCATAAGCACAAAGGAACACAGAAAGTCTGCTTAGACAATTTCAATTACAGCTTTTCCTATTTGTATTTACAAATGTAACAATCTCTAATCTCTCATGTGTGTAATAAATATAACCAAACAGATCTTAACTAACAAAATTACTAGTGCATAGTTCAGAAACAAAATTAGTCACCTTCACTTTTTCTTACTTGCTAATGCTTGCTTCTTTCTCAGCCGGTATGACAAGAATCTATACGTTAACTTTAACTACTGTTTGTACTATACATGCGTGTTCTGTTCACAACTATTGCATGCATTTGCATAGTGTCATTCAATTTCAAAGCCAAAGAAACATATATGAATTAAACCAGGAGGATTCTAATTAAATTCCCTCTGTTTCTGTGGAATCTTAGAATTCTTTTAATTGCATTTAAAATGTCCTACTGTAGATGTAGTGTGGTTTAGTTTTTTCTATTAATTTTTGAGTCATCCATAAGTAGGAAAGTATTTTGATCATTTTTACTCTAAAAAGAAAAAGCTCCATGTATTGCAGTTTGCACTTTTAACATAGTTAGCTATTAAATAAACATTGCATAGGCAATGCTTTTGCCATTCTTATTCCTACATTGAATTAGTAGAAATACTGAAGTATAGATTTTTTGCTCAGCAGTTTTCCACTTGTCAAGATAACATCTATAAGCAAGTTTGAAACACCTGAAAGTTTTGAGTTGCGTGTCAAAACCAACCACTGTCTGCTTTCTGTTACAGCACTCACGCTTGAGCTCACTTTTATGTCTGCGTGAGGGTTAAACTTGCCTTAAACAGCTGACTGCTTTACAAAACACTACTGAACACTTAAATGATCCTAGCCAGATGCACTGTCTCCCACACAAGCTGTGCTGCTTGTGTAGGGGGTGTGAAGTGTGTACGTCTGGGTAGCAAAAACCATCTGTTGATACAGTTCTTGTTTCAGTCAGTCAGTGGATGGAATGGGGAGAGCTCTGAGGAGCAGATCTTACCCTCTCCAGATTCCTGTGGAAGGAATGAATGGCAAAGCTGTTAAGCAGGCAGCTTCAATTTTGAATCTGTGCTGCACCACAAACTTCCTGTTGTCTAGTCTTTCTGTGCAGAGCTCTTGCACTGGTTGGAAATCAAAATAAATACAGGACATGAGGAACACAATTATACCCTCCTTTGTCTCTGATTACTAACCTCCTTCCTAGCCCTAATCCTTTACAGGTTCCCTGTTTCATCCTACACATCACCACCCTTGAAGGACCTAAAATTAATTAATATAAACCAAACATATAGATACTGCTTGCTGCATGTCTGGATGTGTCTGCTTCCAGCATGTAAGTATAGCAGAGCCCAGGAGCAACAGATGAAGGTTGTTTCTCTGCATCCACTCCCATTATGGTCCTGATTGCTTCCAGCCAGAAGCTGGTATGGTTTCCTTTATTGTTTTAAAAGCCCCGTTCTAATTTCCAATATAAGATAATGCTGATCTGCCCACATTCACATACTGTAACTTCACTACTGTATCAGAGAGAATTCTAGAAATGTCCCAAGAGACTGGCTGCCTAAATTTGGGCATTTTAACAAGTCTGTTCATTTCAAGTATATAGTATTGCCTTAACAAATATGTATTCTGCACATTCCAGCCTTGACTAGGATTGATTCACACTCTGCTTCTCAGTTGATGCTGTGAATATTTATTCAGTTGTGTTTCTCACCTGCTGGATTTGAAAAATAGTTTTGTTTTCTCAGAGAAAGATTGTCTCTGGAACAGCTGAGAGCAAGCTGAGAGTTTAATGTTTTGTGGACCTAGATATTGTACTATAAATATTCTAAGAATGCATTTTTTTGTAACATAACTTACATTTTTCAGTGTGCATATCCAGGTCTTGCTTCTTACAGTAAAACCTTGGCCTTTAAAAGCCCACATAAAAATTCCATTTATAATTACAAAATTATATTTACCATACTTCAAAATAATCACCAGGACATCCTAGTTTAGAGTACAAGGTAAAGGATGCGGCATTCTCCCCACTTTTTAACAATTTTTGTGGTATTAGCAACAGAAGGAAGGAGTCAGGCCCCCAAATAGTAATACATATTTCTTCAGTGTATTTTCCTTTGTGTTTTGTTTTTCTAACTCTGGTGGCACATTCCTATCATGTTTTTGATAGGAACATATATATATATATATCTCATCACCTGGGGAGATATCAAATATTGCAGTTTTTACTGTGTATGTCTGATGCCACTTTGCTTATAGGCAATTTCCTTACTTTGGTGGTAGTTAGTCTTGTTTTGAACACTGAAATGGTGATACCATTTTTATTTATGGCTTCTCAGGTGGAAGCTTTCTTCTTGCTCTGGCAAAGTTGAAACTGATGCTGAAAAGGCAGATGTCACTGGAGGAGATGTATAGGAAAGGTAAGTGTGAAAATCTGCTGTAATGTTGCTCTCAAACGCTCTGAAAAATAGAAAGAGAAGCTGGAAATGGATTATAGTTTCTTAAGGAACTGATTTTAAGTCAGAATACTGAAGCTAAAGAGTACTCTATCACAAAACAGTTTTCTAAAATGTGTTAATTTAAAAACAGTGTTGTCATGTTGCTCTTGAGACACCAATTTAAGCAACACGTTTGCATAATTTATCATAATATTCTTATAATTTCCACTAGAGTGGGTGAATTTGAAATGTAAGCTTTTTTTAAATTGGATATCTTTGTGAAATACTTGCTCAGCATCTTTTATACCATTCTGTTTACAGTCAAGTTGCCTGCATGTAATTACTTAATGCTGTTTGTAGGTACACCCCATGAAGAGAATAAAGAAATACTTAAAGAAGATATAGCTGTAGAATCACAAGCATCCACAGGTCCTTCTAAGTAATTCTTGCATAATTCAGCTGACAGTTTTTCTTTAAAGTCTAATCCCTACTGTAATTTATTCATAATCTTAAAATTACAACAGATCCTTTTCAATTAAAGGATTTTTAAAAAATTTTATCTTTTTAAATTTTAATCCCATTTGGCAGCCCTAGAATGATCTCTTAAGTCTGGGCATTTTAAGTGAAATGTATTCAAGTTCTTCTGTCTTCGCCTCAGCTTCCTTGCATTTGTGAATTTTGACTTTCACATTGGTGGTTCCTCCAGCTAGAATCGTGTCTAGAAGGAGGTAGCCTTTTTTTTTCCAATTAAAACATGACTAATTTTATTGAGGCTAGCGAATCAGCCAGGAACATAATAGATTAGGGTCTGCAGGGAGCATTGATGGGCACCCTAACTACAACAAATAGCTTACATCAAGTATTATAATTGTGAATGGCAGAAATAATGAGTACTTAGAATTTCTATAGTGCCTTTCATTCCCAGGCTCCTGATTTCTTCACCAGCATTAATTACTGGTAGTTAACCATCACAAAAGCTTATTGAAATAATAGTTATTGTTATCCTTATTTTATAGTTTGTTTAATAACTGGAGTTCTTCCAGATACACACTTGTGTAACTGAGATAAGAATTTCTCCCACAATCTACTGTTGGCCTTGGACTAACATCCAGTTCTTAGCTTTAGCGGGCTATGGATAATTGACTGTTTCAGAAAAGAAAAAGCGAAGGAAAGACCTACTTTGTCATAAAATATCCTTTGGATTCATTCTGGAATTTGTTAGTTTCTTTTCAAAACAAATAATGGGAATGGGAGCGTAATAGCATCCAGAAGAGAATGACTCTGCCAGAATTGTTTTCTCTCAGTTTTGCTGAATGAAGGTAGTTGCC